CGACATCATCCAGTCTACATGAAATTTTCATTTATAGTTTCATGCATGATATATATCAGCATTACATACGGGTAAGTATCTCTGTCGCCATCTAGTGGGCTTAGATGGCAATCATTACATAAACGACCCAACAGCCAATTATCATCTCAAGCTAAAGAAAAGCGCATAAGCACACGATGCTGTTCACCTGCAGCACGCTCAACCGCAGTGCGTCCAGACGTGCAGCGGTGTGCGAGGGCTCTGTCATCACTGGTTGCAGGTTTAAATTTATATAAATTTTTTTCCTTTTATTTTTCTTTAAGCCGTCCTAATGTTCTCCATGTTTATGTGTCTGTGCATGATTTGTCTGTGTCTGTTAGGACAGAAGTGAAGTAAGGGTGGGGCAGCATGACGGCCATCTACGACCACATGGAAGTCAAAATGGGAAACAGACCGGCAAAAAGGTGATCACAGTCTTTTGAGTTTCTTTGCATGCAGAACTGTTGTCATGTAGATTTCAGTCTGACTCTGAATTTTTGCAGGTGGGGGCATTTTTAACATGCTGGCTAAAAGGGGGGGAAATGGTGATTATCAGTAAAGCTCAAATATATCAGTAAAGCTCAAGTATGGAGAGAAATGTGCCTCAAAAGGGTTACAGCCGTGTACAGTGATTGGTGTGTACTCACAAGCATGTGCCCACACCCACACATAAATACACAGCAATGTGAGCACATGTAAAACTGCTTTACATCCAAACCTGAATAAAAAACTGGTCGTTTACACACAATTAAGTTCAGCTTATGGAGTCGGATCATTTTCTTTTTCTGTGGATACAACTATCTAAACGTTTGAATAACAACTCCGTCTCACTCACTTACAAAACCTTAATTATGATGAGAGTCTTCAAAACTTACACACAAACCACTGCACACGTTTGTAAGTACATTACCATTATTAAGATACCATTAAGGTAAATCTATGTTTGCCACAAGTTCCTGAAAATGTCGCGGTGTGAGTCCTGTTAAGAAGTGAAGTGTTTTTGAAGCGCTCTTACTTTGAAACAGAAGCGTGGAGTTTGTATAATATACAATTAGGAAGTTTAACAGAACAGGATTTGATCAGACGCTGTAAAAATACTGATGGATTATTATCATTATTACATAAAGACACCAGACGATTGAAACAGGAGTGTTATTGTTTATGCTCGAGTTTTAGTTGCTAATGTCAAACCAGTACATCCCAGCAGCTTTTAAGTTTATTTTACCAGTTATTAGTAAAATATTTCACCTTATTCTTGACTCAATACAACAGGAGCACCAAATCAACCCATGAACACCTTAAATGTCAGCTCTCTGTTGATTGCTTTAGTCTATCAGTTCACTGATTGCTGGGTTTTAGTGTCTCTACTGGAACTGCAGAAAAAGGCAAAAAAGTGAGACACAGTTAATGTTTTTGGTTTCTCTTCATGCCGTGGAGGAATGCAACTATCTGGTTACTACTTCACAAATGAAGAATTAAAGATAAAGAATTGGACTGGATGTGGACTGGTCTGTTGTGCTGAACAAAGGGCCAGGCCAGTTCCTCTACAGTATACTTAACTGGAAGATCTCCTCTCATCTATGACCACAACCTCTGGATAGTTACACAAAGAATAAGATTTGGATACAAATACCTGTTAAGGTATGGCTTTATTTCTGTGCCACTATTCTGAGCGCACATCAAAACATTTTGGAAACACAAATGTTGCATTTTGAAGAGAAAATGATTTTGAGTATAGAGAATTCATTGCTGCCTGCAAGAAATGTATTTCACTGTTTGCTATTACACACACACACACACACACACACAATAACAGCCGCTCTCACTCAGATCTCTGCTCCGTGCACGCTCAACTCTCTGCACACCATTATAAGTGTGCCACAAAACCAACCAATCACAGACGTGGATGCAAAAATTCTGATTGGCTGTTACAGTCTCCAATCAGCTTGCTAGCTACTGCATTCTGGAAACATGGTCCAGAGTGTAGAAAAATGCAGTGGAGTGGTTTGGTTTAAATTAGGTTAAAACCAACAATGGTATTTTAAAAAAAAATAAAAATTTTAAATAGAATAATTCAACATACTAACTGAAAATGGATTGAACTACATGTTGGAGCGTGTTTTGTGGCACACTTATAATGGTGTAGAGAGTTGAGCGTGCACAGAGCAGAGATCTGAGCGAGAGGGGCTGTTATTGTGTGAGTATGGATAATAGCAAATACTGAAATACATTTCTTGCAGGCAGCAATCAATTTTCTTCGCTGAAAATAATTTTCTTCTCAAAATGCAACATGTGCACTTGCAAAAAATGTTGTATTTGCGCTCAGGCACAAAAATAACCCCATACTTAAGCTGTTCTGGAGGAGCTAACAGTACAGTCACTACACAGTAGAGCAGGGCGATACGACCAAAAATATTTATCACGATATACATTTCAAAATTTGCAATAACGATATAACTGACGACATAATTGACACTAGAGCAGGGGTCGGCAACCTGCGGCTCTTTAGTTCTTATAGTGCGGCTCCGCGTGGTTTGGGAAAATTAATTAGAAATATTTAGCTGAAGTGTATTTTATTTATGTTAGTTCTTTTTAAACTTGTAGTTCTAAATTGGAAGATTATTGTGATATTGAAATATAAAAATAAAATTATATTTTATTATTGTTCGTCGCTCAAAATAAGCGTCACACTGGCGGAAGCCGGTGTACCCACCGAACGCCGTGCATTTATCGAGACTTTCAACCCCAGGTAGGCCAGTTATGGATCTTTGGATCCACATTATGTCAGCAGCTCCACCCTGAACTATGTTAAAACAAACACGCTCACACCTCACAGACGACAGCTTACAGTCCTGTAAAGATGAAAGTGACTTCGTACAGCCTGATCTGCAAACGCTGTGCGCAGAGGTTCGGGACCATAAGTCTTATTGTAAACATATCAC